TGCAGAAAGGGTTCTCGCTTTGTTGTCGCAGCGCTGGAGTGAAGTGGCATGATGCATGGCTCAGCGCTGCAGGCTTGACTTCCTATTCTCCGAAAGTAGTCCCCTAAGCCCTCAGGCTCTGCAGTAGTGGGTCAGGGCCACTTGCACTACACTGGTCATTTTTTTGTAGAGACCCAGTTCTAATGGTTGGCAGAGCTGGTTCTTGAATCTGGATAAGTGATCTGAACTCGAGCCATTCTGGTCCAAAACTGCGGCTGGCCGCGCGCGCCTACAGAGGGAATGTGAATCGGCCAGCTGTCGCCCAGCCCCGGTCCTTTTTTAATTTAATAAGTAATCTATGGAGATACTTTGCAATACCTGTTGCAAAACCTGGGCAATATGCCTGTTCGCTCAGGGCAAACTTCACCCCAATGGTTTTGATCTGGAAGAGGCATTTTTATATCATAAACATTTTCTTACATCTCTCGGCATAGCCAAATATCATAAACACCTTTGGAAGCCCCCGCGAACTTATTTGAGCGTAGAGCTCTGTGTGTCATTTTCCCATGCCTTAAAATCTGAAGCCTTCCCTTAAGAAAATAGTCTTGTAGTCTAATTTTTTTTTTTTTTTCAACAAAATTTTTTTGAGTGGATTCTTGCTCTGTTGCCCCAGGCGGCTGGAGTGCAGTGGTGCGACCCTCTTAACCCAAGGGCCACGTCCTGTTCGGCTGACTGCAGACCTCTGCGCCCTCCTTGGGTTCAAGCAATCCTCCCACCCTCGGCCTCAAGTAGCTGGCCGATTTACAGGAATGGCACGCACCGAAGTCTGGGCTACATTTTTGTATTTTTGCCTACAAACATTTGGTTTAGAGGATGGGGGTTTCACCCATGAGCTTTCACAAGGCTGGTCTCGACACTCCTGAACTGACGGGTGAGCTGGCCACCTCAGGCCTCCACAAAGCTTTGGATGCCATAAAGGCGCGTCGAGCCCTTGCGCCTCGGCCTTTAAATTTTTTAAAAAAATTGATGCAATCACATAATTCGTTTTTACTCGCCAGCCGGGCGCGCCAGCCGCATTGGGTTCACGCCATTGTCCTGCCTCAGCCTCCTGAGTAGCTGGGACTACAGGCGCCCGCCACCTCGCCCGGCTAGTTTTTTGTATTTTTTTTTAGTAGAGACGGGGTTTCACCGTGTTAGCCAGGACGGTCTCGATCTCCTGACCTCGTGATCCGCCCATCTCGGCCTTGAGTACTCATATTTTTGACTGCCTGATATTATTGACTTCAGCCTGACGCCAAATTGCTGATTATATTTCTCATAGTGGATTTTGTGTCTCTACACTTAGAAGAATTGAGCAGATACTTACAGAAGAGTACTGTGCAAATTAGATGTGCAAATTAGAAAACTGTCATTAATTGGATGGATTAGGCATGTTGAGTAGTTCACTCAGACCACGGAGATGAGAGTACTGACCTCTGAATATTATGAAAGAATTGTTAGTAACAATAACGAAGGCAGGCTCTGACCATCGTCACTGGAAGAACTTAGAGTCCAGTGTATAGTACCCTTCCTCCATTGTAATTTGCATTTGTGAGGAAAGGACATTTCTAGGTGGTGCTCATCTTTCACTTTGGACTCTGACATTTTTTGATGTTGGCCTAACACTTAGCCATGACTCATGGGGTGTCACCTTCAGTCTCTAAGAATCAGGCCAGGTTTCTTGTAGATCTTGTCATATTGCCACTTGGAATTTAGCCGGAGGAAAGAAAGTAAGGCACAATTGCAGTTGTTTAGATGAACATCTCAGTCAGGCTTATGAGAGGCAGTAGGGCAGAGTAGACTGTCCTCATTCTCTCTGGCATTTGTTTTCCACCTGTTCTGAAGATTCTTCTCTGAACCGTATCTTGTGCAGAGACGACAGTTGATCATAGAGGTTCCCCTACCCCCAATTTCTGGCTGATTCCTAAAATTTCATCAGTATCAAGAAAGTAATTCATTTGTTCAAATTTTATTACTCAAGAAAAATGCAACTTTCCCTGCAGGGAGCTAAAAAGCCAACGTCTAAATGATGGCAGCGGTGGCCTGTCTGGATGGGCTACTGCCATGATGCCAGCTGCAGTCGGGGAGGCATGGTCTGCACTGCACACTCCATGGAGCCAGTGGGAGCCAGGAATAGGTGGAAGCCCTGCCCGCTTCCAGGTTGGCGGGGCAGGAGCAGCCGTGGCTATATACCTGGGCATCCCTGTGCTTTTGGGGGCCCAGGAACCTCCCCTGCTCCTGCAAGCTTGAAGTGCCTGCTCCCACTGCCTGGCCTCTCCTTGCTCCTGGTGCCCACTCTGATTCTGGTGCCCACTCTGATCCTGGTGCCCGCTCTGATTCTGGTGCCCGCTCTGATTCTGGTGCCCGCTCTGATCCTGGTGCCCGCTCTGATTTTGGTGCCCGCTCTGATTTTGGAGCAAAGTTGAGGCCAAGCCTGGGCACCGTCATGACCTGGCTGGGTGTGCATGTGCTAGGGGCAGCGCTGACACGCCAGCCCCCTGCTGCCTTGGCCCCCTCCACATTTTGGGTGTCCAGGAGCACAGGAGGGGAGGCCAAGGCGGAGCTGAGGGCAGCTTCATGCAGGCCTGCAGGCGCCCCTTGGCACGAATAGCCAGGGTGCCTTGACAGCAGCAGGAGGCAGAGAGGCTCCTAGGCGGAAATGGGCGGGTCCCTGGTGAATCCCCACCTTCAAGCCAGGGATGGCCTGAAGCCTGGGGCCCAGGCTGCCAGTTCTGTGGACTGGAGTGAGAACTTATGGTGCTTTTTCCAGGTTGCCCATGGCTTCCCAATGGGCCAATCAGCATGTACTTCCTCCCCTCTGAAGCCCATGAAAACCCTGGACTCAGCCAGACTTGACAGGATGGCTGACTGCTGATAGGAGCTTCCCACTCCAGCTCTCCTCTCCACTGAGGGCTGCGGAGACAAAAGGATGACCTGCCTTCAGATAGGAGCTATCCACTTTTGGTCCCCTCTCCGCTGAGGACTGCACAGATGCTGGGACGACCTGCTGTGGAAAGCAGCCTACCCACTTGGGGTCTCCTGAGAACTACTGTGTTGCTCAACAAAGCACCTCTTCACCTTGCTTATCCTCCAGTTGTCCATGTACCTCATTCTTCCTGGACATGGGACTAGAACTCGGGATCCACCAAATGGCAGGACTGAAAGAGCTGTAACAAACAGAGCTGAAACATGTCCCCAGCTCCCCCCACCCACCACTTGCCACGTTGTGAGCAAGAGAAAGAGACAAGAGAGGAGAGAGAGAAGAGAAGAGCTGCAGCCCTTTGGGAAGCCCAGACCTAGGAGCTCCCTGAGCCTGGGCTGTGACCCCCTCTTTGGAGCTCTGTGGTTCCTGGCATCTCCAAGCTTCTGGGCACCACCATGTTCCCCAGTGCCTGCATTGGAAGCTGCTTGTGGTATGCCTGGTTCAGCTGCAGCCTCTCAGGGAGCTGGCGCCTGGAGCTGCCCACCCCCTGGCAGCTGGTGTGCCTGGCTGTGCACAGTGGCCGGAGCCTGTGCTCACTCGCCTGTGCACCGCTTGCCGCTCCGTGCCTGGCTTGCCCTTGGCGTGCGTGGAATCTGTGCTGGTGACACGAGCTGAGCGTAGCCTGCCAGGCTGAGTAGATGGAATGGGCCCAGCGGGCCTGAGCAAAACTCAGGCAAAGGCGCCACTGGCCACAGAGGTTTCTGGCTGGTGAAGCGACACCCCAAGTATTCTGTGACATAAACATGAAATATAGAATATTCAGAACTTTGCTGTAATAGCTAGTTGCTAGGAACTGTCTGCTAAATGAGCCAATAATAAATAAGTTTACCTTTGGGGGAAGGAGAATCCCTGAGGGAGTTTTAATAGCTGGAAACTACTGAGGTGTTAAGACCCTGAAAGAGGAAAGGGAAATGAGTACTGAGAAAAGAAGGGGAAGGGCCGGGTGCAGTGGTTTACACCTGTAATTCTGGCACTTTGGGAGGTCGAGGTGGGTGGATCACCTAAGGTCAGGAGTTCAAGACCAGCCTGGCCAACATGACAAAACCTTGTCTCTACTAAAAATACAAAAATTGGCTGGGTGCAGTGGCTCATGCCTGTAATCCCAGCGCTTTCGGAGGCCGAGGCAGGTGGATCACGAGGTCAGGTGTTCAAGACCATCATGGCCAACATAGTGAAACCCCGTCTCTACTAAAAATACAAAAAATTAGCTGGGCGTGGGGGTGGGCGCCTATAATCCCAGCTACTCAGGAGGCAGGAGAATTGCCTGAAACCAGGAGGCGGAGGTTGTAGTGAGCCGAGATCGTGCCATTGTTCTTAGCCAGGGTGACAGAGTGAGACGCTTTTTTTTTTTTTTTTTTTTTTTTGAGAAAAAGAAGGAGAAGGACATTTTAAAAAGACGTTATGCTGGCCCTAGCTATTCTGGAGGCTCAGGTGGAAGGATTGCTTGAGCTCAGGAGTTTGCGGCTACAGTGTGCTCTGATTGTGACTGTGAGCAGCCACTGCACTCCAGCCTGGACAACCTAGCAAGACCCCATCCCTTAAAAAAATAAAAGTAATGAAAAAGGAAATAAAAACCGTTATGCTACTCTACAGCTTTCATAGAAGTAACCCTGGTGAAGTGGTCACTGAAATCTGTAGAGCATTTAGAGTTAAGACATCAACTCGTGCTGTGGTTCATGCCTGTAATCCCAAGTCTTTGTGAGTTTGAGACAGGAGGATCCCTTGAGGCCAGGATTTCGAGACCAGCCTGGGCAACATAGCGAGGCCTGTCTCTTAAAAAAAAAAAAAAACAGCTATGTGTGGTGGCACGTGCCTGAGTCCTGGCTGCTTGGGAGGCTGAGGCAAGAGGGTCACTTGAGCTAACAAGGTTGAAGCTGCAGTGAACCAAGATCATACTACTGCACCCCAGCCTGGACAACAGAGTGAGACCCTGTCTTAAAAAAAAAAATGAGAGTTAAGAAATCCATGTTTTGTTAATCCAGGACTTGGTGAGAGCCATCCCTTTACAAAAGGCTCTTTTCTCTACCTGCACCAGTCATGCCTTCACATTGCCTTATACCTGTCGTATCAATGATATGGAGGGTCGTGGGAGAGTCATGTAACTGTCTTTCTCAGACAAATTATTCCAATCTTTTGCATGCAATCAGGATTTAAAATTAGCAGTTAGTATGTAGGCTGCACTGTGAGGGGGAATGACTTCCAACTTCAGGCGATTCATTGTGGCCATTGTTCCACAGAGAGGCATTTCAGTATTCCTACTAGAGCCTGTGTTTTGTGAAGCTTCGTTGTTTTTGCCAGATGCCATTGGCTCATCTTAGTGAAGTACATGCTATAGAACTGATATTTTGCTGAGTGTATCCTTGTCAACATTTCGGAAATACTGGTGACAAACTCTTTTCCCACCCCAATGAGAAAATTTTTGTTTTCACTTTCTGTGACCAGTTAAAAGAAGATGGATGCACAGTGTTCAGCCAAGGTCAATGCAAGGAAGAGGAGGAAAGAGGCGCCTGGACCCAACGGGGCAACAGAGGAAGATGGGGTTCCTTTTAAAGTGCAGCGCTGTGCAGTGGTAAGTGGAGATGAACCCGGCAGGGGGAGGGTAGAAACCGATACAGCGTTGATGATATCAGTGTTACACGTCTTCTGAAACAATGAAAAGAAGGAATAGTAAGTGTATTTCACAGTCACTGGAAATCTTCTGCCTTTTTACTAGATTATGACTCACAGCTCAGTTGTAGGAGCTTTACACTGGATTTAGAAAAAGAAATGTTAGGAAAATATGGAAGTTGCGTGTGTATTAGGCTAAAACTATTGAAATATGGCCAGGTGCGGTGACTCATACCTGTAATCCCTGCACTTTGGGAGGCTGAGGTGGGCGGATCACCCGAGGTCAGGAGTTCAAGACCAGCCTGACCAACATGGTGAAACCCCGTCTCTACTAAAAATACAGAATTAGCCGGGCGTGATGGCACACGCCTGTAATCCCAGCTACTTGGGAGGCTGAGGCAGGAGAATTGCTTGAACTCAGGAGGCGGAGGATGCAGTGAGCCAAGATCGTGCCATTGCATTTCAGCCTGGGCAACAGAGACAGACCCTGTCTCAAAAATAAAAATAAAAATAAAAAATAAGTAAATAAATAAATAAATAAAACTAATAAAATAGAAAAATTGGGGCTCTAGGCAGTGTTTTGATCTTCACATCATCTCGTGTCTAGTGCGTTTTTTCTACTGTTTTTTCTCCCTATATCATTCCTCCATTCTATTACTAGTTATATCTTGAATGAGAACCTTTTTCCATTTATGCCTACCTTATGCTCCTTTATCTCTGGAAATGTATCTCTCTATTTCCTAATTATTGCCAAACCTTAAATGAAAGACCCCATTCCACACTGCCTACCCTGTCTCAGCTTGCTACCCTTCTAAAACTTTCCGTAATAAAAACATGTCAGAGAACACTTATACACAATTGAAGCTACTGTTGTTAATATTAGTATGAAATCTGTGTTTCAAAATCCCAGTGACAGAATTGTATGTTTCTTTACCTATATTGACCGTTAGCCATTGATCAAACTCATTTTCTACTGGTTAGTTCTAGAGCTTCCCAGCCCAAAGGGAAAAATCTATTCTGAAACAATTAATAGTTATTCCAAGTGAATGCTCTGTCTTGAGCAATAAAAGCAAATAATACCCCACAAATAAACAAGTGCCTGCAGGACTGATACTGATCATAAGAGCAAGTATATATATTTGTTTCCTGTTGCATTTGTAACAAATTACCATAATACAAATATACAAATAAATTATCTTACATTTCTGGATATCAGAAATCTGAAATGGGTCTCAGAGGACTAAAATCAGGGTGTTAGCAGAGCTGGAGGGTCCAGGGGAAAGTCCATCTTCTTTCCTTTTCCACCTTCTAGAGGGTCCCCATATTGCTTAGCGCTTGGCACCAGCCAGTGCTTACATCACTCTGACCATTGCTTCTGCCATATCTCCTGCAGATTCTGAATGGCCTACTCCCTTTTCACTTACAGGGACTCTTGTGATTACATTAGGTGTACCCAGATAAACTGGAATAATCTTCCTGTCCTTCAAATCCTTTATGTAATCATATCTGCAAAGCTTCTTTACTATTTTTATTTGTATTTGTATTTTTGAGACAGAGTCTCGCTCTGTTGCCCAGGCTGGAGTGCAATGGCGCGATCTCAGTTCACTGCAACCTCTGCCTCTTGGGTTCAAGTGATTTCCCTGCCTCAGCCTCCCAAATGGCTGGGATTGCAGGTGCCCACCACCATGCCTGGCTTACTATTTTTATTTTTATTTTTAGAGTAAGGGTCTTGCTATGTTACCCAGGCTGGTCTTGGACTCCTGAGCTCAAGCAGTCTTCCTACCTCGGCCTCCCACAGTGCTAGGATTACCAGGCGTGAGCCACTATGCCTGGCCTGCAGAGTCTCTTTTGCCATGTGTGGTAAAACAGTCACAGGCTCCAGGGAATGGGTGTGGCCATCTGTAGGGGGGCGTTATTCTGCATACTATAGTAAATAAGCTCAGAAAATGACTCAGCAATCAACAAAACAGGGCATTGTTAGTTTCTGAATATTTCTTAGAGAATTCAGATTGAAGAAATGGTGGTACCAATTCAGCAGCATCACTTGGAGCAGGAACAAGATATAACCAAATAGGTGATACTGTCAGCTAATCAGCCAATCACTGTAGCTAGGAATAGAGCAAAGGAAGTCAGTCTTTTCAGTGGAATGAGCTCTGAGAAAACCTAAATTTCTTGGTCTTTAAAGTCTGGGGAGTCTTTTTTTTTTTTTTTTTTTTTTTTAATTCTTCTGGGGAGTCAATGCTTTAAATTCCTTTGCTTCATCTATTCATGTGAAATCAGTTCAGTGACTTGCTTCCTGTTCCACATTCTTCCCTGAAACACACAGGCTATTTAGCACAGGCAAATGGTCAAGGAGCCACCCAACAGCCTGGACCAACGTTGATGAGGAGGGGTGTCTGCTGGTAAACGTGCCTGTCATCTCACTGTGCGCCTGTACTTTCTAGCTGTGACTCTCCTTTGAACGCTATAACAAAAACAAGACTGTTTTCTTTTTTTTAACGGCTTTATTGAGTTATAACTGACATATCATTTACAGTATACAATTCAGTGGTTTTTAGTTTAGTCACAGAGTTGTGCAGCCATCACCATGACCAGTTTTAGAATTTTTTCCTTTATTTTTTTGAGACAGGGCCTTGGTCTGTTACCCAGGCTGGAGGGCAGTGATGTGATCATAGTTCACTGCAGCCTCAACTTTCTGGGCTCAAACAGTCCTCTCACCTCAGCCACCCAAGTAGCTGGGAATATAGGTGCACGTCACCATGCCTGGCTAATTTTTAAATTTGCTTTTGTAGGCATGGGGTCTCACAGCGTTACCCAGGCTGCTCTCAGTCTCCTGGATCAAGTGATTCTCCTGCCTCAGCCTGCCAAAGTGTGGGATTGCAGGCGTGAGGCACCAGGCCTGGCCTGGGATATTTTTATCACCCCAGAGAGAAGGCATCTACTCAGGAGCAGTCACTCCCCGTTTCCCCCCAGTCTCTCCAGCCTCTGGAGACCACTAATCTGCCTTTTGATTCTGTGGATTTGCCTGTTCTGGGCGTTACATACAAATGACATCATACAGTATGTGGTCTTTTGGGGCTGGCTTCTTCTGCTGAACATGTTTTGAAGATTCATTCATATTGCAACATCTATAAGTACTTAATTTTTTTGAGACAGAGTCTCGTTTTGTTGCCCAGTCTGGAGTGCAGTGGCATGATCACAGCTTCCCAGGTTCAAATGATTCTCCTGCCTTAGCCTCCCGAGTAACTGGGACTATGCAGGCGCCACCACTCCTGGCTAATTTTTGTATTTTTAGTAGAGATGAGGTTTTACCATGTTGCTCAGGCTGGTTTCAAACTTCTGACCTCAGGTGATCCACCCACCTCAGCCTCCCAAAGTGTTGAGATTACAGGTGTGAGCCACCACGTCTGGCCAGTACTTCAATTTTTTTTTATTGGCAAATAACGTTCCATCATATATATCACATGCTACTTTTTAGTTATTCATTCTCCAGTTGACATTTGGGTTGAGTAGGCAAGATTTTATTGCATTTTTATTTATTTATTTTTTGAGACGGAGTCTTGGCTCTGTCACCCAGGCTGGAGTGCAGCAGTGTGATCTCGGCTCACTGCAAGCTCCGTCTCCTGGGTTCACACCATTCTCCTCCTGCCTCAGCCTCCCGAGTAGCTGGTAGTACAGGCGTCCACCACCATGCCCGGCTAATTTTTTGTATTTTTTAGTAGACACAGGGTTTCACCATGTTAGCCAGGATGGTCTCAATCTCCTGACCTCGTGATCTGGCCGCCTCGACGTCCCAAAGTGCTGGGATTACAGGTGTGAGCCACTGCTCCCAGCCTTTATTGCATATTTACAATGTGATGGTATGGCAGTAGGTGGTAGAGGTGTAAAGATAAACAAGACCTTCCTTTTATGAGATGTGAGCATAGAGTAGAATTCTATAGCCTAGAGCTCACTAACTTTTTTTCTTTTTTTTTAATGGGAACTCGCAGGCCAGGAACGGTGGCTCACGCCTGTAATCCCAACACTTCGGGAGGCCGAGTTGCGTGGATTACCTGAGGTCAGGAGTTCTAGATCAGCCTGGCCAACATGACAAAACCTTGTCCCTACTAAAAATACAAAAATTAGCTGGGCGCAGTGGTGGGTGCCTGTAATCCCAGCCACTCAGGAGGCTGAGGCAGGAGAATAGCTTGAACCTGGGAGGTGGAGTTTGCAGTGAGCTGAGATTGTGCCACAGCACTCCAGCCTGGGCAACAGAGTAAGACTTCGTCTCAAAAAAAAAAAAAAAAAAAAAAAAAAAAAAAAAAAAGAAGGGGTTGGAGACCTACTGTGTTGCCTAGGCAGGTCTTAAACTCCTGGGCTCAAGCTGTCCGCCTGCCTCTGCCTCCCTGTGCTGAGGTGACAGGCGTGGACCACCACACCTAGCTGAGCTCTTTAGCTTTAGAAAAGCACTTTTCTTGCAAATAAAGAAAGGAATAGGAAGGATCACCAAGTATTAGATACCTGGGTTGGCGGGTCGGGATGAAATGGATAGAAAAGAGACAAGAGTTAAGAAGGAAAAACTTTATGGCTATTTTGTCTATAAGTATAAATCATTTATTGATACAGATGTTTCTAAAGGTTCAATCAAAAGGATCACAGAAGTATTTATAAAACATAAGACATTTAGCTTATCTTAATATATATCAGGCTGGGCGCAAGTGGCTCATGCTTGTAACTTAGCACTTTGGGAGGCCAGGGAGGGCAGATCACGAGGTCAGGAGTTTGAGACCAGCGTAGCCAACATGGTGAAATCCCGTCTCTACTAAAAATACAAAAAAAATTAGTTGGGTGTGGTGGCGCATGCCTGTAATCCCAGCTACTCAGGAGGCTGAGGCAGGAGAATGGCTTGAACTCGGGAGGCAGAGGTTGCAGTGAGCCGAGATTGTGCCACTGCACTTCAGCCTGGGTGACAGTGAGACTCAA